TCTGGCATTCCGAGTCCTTCCTTCCGACAAGAAAAAAATTTCCCGACAACTGGAAAAAAATTTCCCGACAACTGGAAAAATTTTTCCTGTTGTTCGTCCGTAAACCATTCAAATTTTCGAAAATTGAGAACTTTTTGGTCGAACGACAGAAAAAGTTTTTCCTTCCAACAGAAAAAGTTTTTCCTTCCGACAGAAAAAGTTCTTCCATCCGACATTCCGAGTCCTTCCTTCCGACAGGACACAAACGGATGACTGACGTTCCTCTTCCTGAATGTCTTCCAAAGCCAGAAGAACCGAAAGCTGCAGAACCACAACAGACTAAGACGAAACACTTACATTTTTCAAGCTTGACTTTTTACAATTTGAACTTTGCTTGCGTAGATATGAATTCTGAAAGAAGTATGAGGGTCTTGTATGACTTTGTACTTCTCCCATAGTTCATGTCTGTCAAACTTACCTGCCATGGACTCTTTCATAAGTTCCATGAAATCGTCTTCGGACAATCCGGGGAAAAGTACAATGTCAGTAAGTATTCTCTTTACATCCTTACTTAAACTCTTTGCTGTCTGTACACAAATGACAACTGAGATGTTAAAGTGTCTGAGCTTCTTAAGAATTCGACACATGTCTTGTTCTCTATTCTTTAACAAAGGATGAGATGCAAAGTCGTCTAAAATAAGAAGACATCTGTGAGGGTAAGTCTTCCAATCGTAAGATTGCAATTTCTTCGAAATGTATTCTATCTCTTTCTGTTTGTTTCTGAAGTGTTTCTTCTCTAATATTCTCTGCATTTCCTCATTTGGGTCTTTAAACTTAGAATTTATATACTCATTTATAGCATTGTACTTCAAAACCCTTCTTTGGTACTTCTTTATCCAATCTAACAACTCAGAGTCTTTTATACATACTAACTTAGACTTCTTTATAATATCTTTGAACGAATTGACGGTTTGGTCAAATTGACCAGAAGTACTACAAATGACTACTAACTCATAGAATTGGTTCTTCTCATCTAGTTCTTGTTGTTGTGCAGCCATTTTAAGATAAGTGAAAGTCTTACCGACCCAGGTGGTGCAATTAGACCTGTTATACCATTCTGAGCAAATAAGAACTTGTCATGTATGGGTTTTATCTGAGCATTTTCCAACTTCCTCTTGTTCTTGTTTAAAACATTCTCAAATTTTTTGTCAATGTCAGCAAACTTTTTTTCTAACATATTTTTAGAAAAATTAAAATTTTTATCTTTTAGAAAATGTCTAGCGATTTCGCTATCTATATTCGAGACAAGCTTTTCGACAGCAAAACATCTGTAGACCATAAAATCTTACATAGTGTAAACAAGAAAGGTGAATTTGTTCTAAAGTTCTGTTTCTGGGAATATGACAAGAACCATAAAACATTAAGCAGAGAAGTCTTAAAATTTGTCAATGACAGACTTGTTGACAGAGATGACGCCTCTTGGAGAGATGAAGTCCAACAAAACTTCTTAGAATGCAAAGAAGACACATGCGCTGTTCTTGAAGATGAAATAGAAAACAGAATAGAAGAGCTATTAAAGGACAAAGAACTTTTACATAAATATGGTTGCGCCAAATTTGACATAACTCCACCAGAAAAGAAGAAGAGAGAAAAGAAAGAAAAGAAAGTAGAAGAAGAGAAGAAAGAACCAGTTCCAGAGAAGGGGAGATATGACATGTAAAAATAAAATTTTATTTTTAGAACATTTCTGGGTCAATGTCAATGTTCTCTTCCTCTTTAGGAGTAAACACTGGCTTAGACTCTAAAATCTTTTTACCCAATTTACCTTGAACTTCTACAACTTTAGACTCATAATATTCATAGTCGTCTGCTTTCTTTGGTTCATAAGGTATAACAAGTTTGTATGCTTTGCCTTCTTTAAGGTTTGAAAACCTTCTGTCAAAACTTTCTTTGACTGCTAACAAACCTTCTATGTCTAAGTCTTCAAATTTCGCACCATTTTTAGTCACAATAGCAAACTTAACTGGTTCGATGTTCCAAACTTTGCTGAATGAAGACTTTTCAAAATGGTAGAAGTAAACATTCAAATATGTGAATGGGTCTAGTTCTTCTTTAAGTCCTGACATGTACTTGTTTACTGAGATGAATTTCGTCATCTTTTCTATCGGATAAAAAAATATTTTTTTTTAAAATTTACTCAGAAAAATTATTTCTTTCTATATTTGCCATTCAGAACTTCGAAAAGATTTTATACCAGCATAGAATTTTTCTCTAGAGCTTGGTCTTATATCGTTTTCATGACAATATTTTCTATATTCTTCATATAAAGCCTTTTTTTCATACATTTCATAAGGACAATCTAACCAGAATAGCGCATATCCATTTTCGTTATCTAGGTCTCTATATGTTTCTTCTGTTTGTAGAATTTCGCTTTCTCTATTTAGTTCTATGTCTATATATTGTGGCTTAAAAAGATGTGGGCAAGAAGGGTCTGGCGCTATGTAAAAAGTTAATTTTTCTGTCATCTTTTTCTATCGGATAAAAAAAAATATTTTTTTTAAAATTTACTCATAAAAATTTTCTTTGTATATACACCATTCTGTACGTCTAAAAGACTTTTGACATTTGCCAAGAATGTTCGTTAGACGCTGTCATATAACCATATTCTTGACAATATTGTTTATACGAATCGTACAATGACCTTTCATCTAAACACTCAAAGTCAGTTTCATCTATGAACAGTTCATATACACTCTTGTTTGCTTCTAACAATTTTGTCTCTCTTCGGTATGTGGAATTTGTCTTGGATTGAACTTAGAAATATCTAATGTCATGAAATATGAAACAAGTGGTTGTAAAAGTCAGATGTCAAAGTTTCTGCTAAGTCGTCAAAATATTCTGTATCTTGCATATGAGAATCTGACGTTCTGACAACTACATATCTTCTGTCAGAACTTTCTAACTTTCATCGGAACAGCATTGTTGAAACCATAATGAAGTTTGCAACATTTCACAAACTCTTTGGTCTTTATATTTTTCTTTCAACAACTCCAACTTTGTCTTTATAAGACTCTTCAAAGCATCTGAGTTCAAAACTTTTGTTGTATCTATACTTTGAAGTTCGTTACATACTATAAGTTTCATATTCTCTATTGAAGAGTTAAATTTACCGCAGATGTTTTCTAAGTTTGTCATATTAGGTTCGAATAGCCCTCAACAGTTGCATAAAGATATCTGTAAAGAATGTGTTCTTACCAGTTCCTTGTTTTCCAATTATAATGAGAGCAGTTTCATTTTTAGCACTTGATGTTGTAAGATGTTTGCAAAACCAACATAAGATATACTCATAGACTCTTTCGTTTCCATTGCATATAATTTTCTTTGACATGTCTAACCAAGCTTCTATAACATTTTCTTTCCATTCTACTTGTTCGTATTTATATCCAGTGAAGATAGAATAGAAGTTTGGAGAAGGTGTATTAAACTTATACCACGAACTGAAAAATCTTCAAGTTTTGACAATAAGATATCCCAAGCATCTAACATTTTCATACCAACTTGTACGACTTTTATTTTCTTAAGTTTCTGTCTACATTCTTGTTCTGAAACTATTGTTGCTCTTGGTTTGTTAAAGACTACATCCCATTCTTTCATAACATAACATTCTGGGGCAGAGTCGACATAAATGACTAAACGTTTCAAATTCTCGACTGCTTTGTTATAGTCTCGAAATGGACACATATTTCTGAATGTTTGGAAGTCATAAAAATCTGAAACATCTATTCTGTACATTTTTTATAAAAATAAAAAAATATTTTTTTATTCTTGAGCTATTTGTTGCATTTGTTGTTCTTGAGCTATTTGTTGCATTTGTTGTTCTTGAGCTATTTGTTGTTGAAGTTGTTCTTGTAATACAATACTTTCACCAGTTGCATCTTCCAATTCGAAACTTTCTGCCGTCATTGACAAATACATAGGACATAAAAGTTTTACAGGAACAAAGTTTGCGTCAACTAAGGTTAAGTTTATGTTTGCTAAAGTGTTTGAGTTTACTAAAGCTGAAAACTCTGCATTCGAATGAACAATAGGCAAACCAGCAGAGAAAGTGTTATTTATACGCATAAGTATCTTTTGGTCATATAGTTTCTGTCGACATTCGAATAGCACTTTGAACCTAAGTTTGAAACAATATATAAAATAGGTGTGCTTAAAGTCAATGGAACAGACATTCCTTGTATGACACCTTTCCTGTTATAGGAAAACTGTTGGTAGTAAAAACCAGATATAAGTTTTGTATTATAGCTCATATTGTTTATAGTAAACTCAGTCGGACATCCAAAACATAATGAAACCTGCTCTAGTTGCAGCACATGTTACACCCGTACTTAAAGTATTAAATAAGTCAACAAAACCTGTTGGTGGTATATCTGAGTAAGTATCTTCAAAGGAGTATTTTTTTACCATTCACAACAACAAAGTCTTCTGGTGTCAAAAGAGCAAAACAGGCTTTAGTCGTCATTGTGTTTAAAGTTAGTTTACAATATCGTCCTTGAGACTTTGTAAGTTTGTTGTTATAGAATTTATATGACTCGGGGTTTTAGTCGTAATAGTATAAACCACTATGTCTTCTGCCATTTACATATATTTAAAAGTTTTTCTGAAAGTGGAGAAGAACTTCATCTAAACTTTCACATGGCGTTTCTTGAAGTTCTCTGTCTAAGAAGTTCAAATATTTTGTAAAGACATAGAACTTTCCTTTGTCTACACGAACAAACAAAACAGGGTCTTTCATATCGTTCAAAAGTGTGTAAAGTCCTTTACATGAAATAAAGTCTATATTATTTTTCTTCAAACATCTTTCAAGAAGTTTTGACATTTTTACTTAGCAAATAAATTTTAATGAAATGTTGTGGTCGTCAAATATTTTTATGACGTCTGGGAAACTATATTTTAAGTTCAACGTTTCACCTCCTTTCATAACGTATATCTTGTCAATGACATTATATGAAACACCACAGCAACTAACGTCGGGTTCTATTTCTTTGATGTTTATATCGTCTGCCTCTGTCAAAAGTTTCAATAGTTCTTTCAAAACTTCATGAGGTGCAATGACATATGAGTTCACTTTTACAGGGTTTGTTCGACCAAGTTTAACATTTATACTTAAAGCTTGACAAATCTTCTCCTGAGTTTGAAGTTTGTCTTTCAGTTGTTGGTAGTCGTTTCGAATATCTGCAACAGAACTTAAGTCTCTGCTAACTTCAGGGTATGTTGGTTGTTCTTTTACAGGAACTATTGTTATACCATCTTGGTCTTCGTATGGTTTCCCCACTTCAACATCTCTGTCTTTGACATTGACAACAACACTTTGACTGTTTGTTTGAGTTGGTGAATTTAACTTCACATCTGCCACCGCCATTAAACCTTTTGAAACACTTACGCTTCTATTTTTCGGAAATGACATTTTACTTAGAATAAAAATATGGACGTATTTGAGTATCTCTTCGAATTGAAGCAAAACAAAGTTTACACACACAAACAATACAAGTTCATTGACAGAATAGTTCTTTACACAAACAATGGAAAATGTTATAGAATAGCAGTCTTTGCTGAACCAAAATATTTTCATAAAGCAAAGAAAGTTGGTATAACTGAAATGGTGAAAGTTCTTGAAGCAGACAAAAATATAACTTCAAAACTTACAGATATTACTAAAGGAAAGTTTATAATACAATATTATGTCAAAACTGGCGTACTGTCAATATTTGACGGAGAGAAGTCAGTTCAAGAACAACTTACTGACCTGCTGCCAAAATCTGCTCGATGGAAGCTGTCGTTATGCCAATCTGAGGAGCCCCAGCAGGTTTCATCGAACGAATCTTCAAAAGAGCATCTTCCGTGAAAAGTGCTATTGGTTTTGTAAACTTCTTTGCTCTCAATTCATCTGGACCGTCTCTGTCACCAGTATATTGTATTTGAACTGTACCAACAGTTGAAATACCACCCATAAAGTCTTCTGAGTCAGCAAATGGAATGCCAAGCCAAAAGTTTGAACGGTCTCCATTTGTATATTGAGTTTTTTGACCTCCTGTATGAGTCCATACTTTCACATATGGCATAATAGAACTTTGCATTTCAGGGTTAATGGTTGTTGTGAAGTTGTTGTTAAAGTTCATAGCATCTAATGTCAAGTTGTATGACCTCATATCCTCAACTGTAGAATATTCTTCTCTTGGATAATATTTGCCATCTATGTTTATATGATATTTAATACCGGGGTTGTAGAAACAAGAATAGTCATTTATAGTTCGTCTGAACAGTACAAACATAGTATCTGCATGTTTCATTGCAGTTGTTAAAGCAATATCTGTTCTTGCACCTGGGTCAGCACTTTGGTTTCCAACTTCACCTGCAAAGTCTTTGACAGATATTTGGTGTATAGGGAACATAAGTGGAACTGCAATATATTTGGCAGCTAAAGCATTTGAAATATCTGGGTCCAACATATAGACTGCAAGTCTGCTTTCTATTCTCTTGCATTCAAATTTTTCGCATGTGAACTTAACTGGGTCCCAAGCAGTTCCAGCAGCATTGAAATAATAGTTTACTTCAGTGTTGAGGTTTGAGAAACCAAAGTCTAAGTCAACTTTGTCTTTGCAAAAGTCGGCGAATGACGTTTTATTTGTTCCCACTACTTCTGTAAGAGTGAATGGGTCTTGTGTTGGTGCAATGACTAAGTTATTTTTGCTTGGAGTAAGTTCAATAGAAATTTTTCCTGCCCAGTTTGGCAAGTATCTTAAAAACCTGAAGATGAGGAAAGATGACAAAGGAACTCTAAGTTTCAGTTTTACTTTAGTGACAGCATTTCCATCTGAACCAGAAAGGTTAACATAAACTCCTGGAACGTTAGGGTCAAGTCTTCTTATTTTCTCAATAGTTGCATATTGGTCTGTTTGTTCTCTAGCTTGTGGTTGTACTGAGTTTCTCAAAGCGAACCATTCATAGTTTGCCCATGTTACTGTTTGAACTAAGTCAGAGTTAGAATATATCTTATATCCCATGAAAACTTCTGGAGCATATTGGTATCCGACATAGAAAATTCCATTGCAACCTTTCTTGTCAGACAACTTGGCAGAAGGTTTTATTTCAATGTCTTGTTCCACGTATAAGAATGAGTTGTCAATAGAAATAATGTGAAACCTGTCGCATGCAATATCTACTGTTGTTGAAGAACCTTCTCCAAACTCACCTACATTTCCATAAGAAACAGCAGTTGTATATTCGTAAGTTCCAGGAACTATTTCTGACCTTCTAATGGCATTGTCGCATTCGTTATACCATTCGGAAACATTTCCATTCATGGCATCCAAAACTGTTGGCGTTATATTCTGAGCGGCGTACATTTCATATGGGTAAAAATATAGAATAGTTGGATTTATGTGTCATAATAGAACCCACGTGGACCAAGCTTTACTTTCTTCCTGGCTGAGTTTTTAACTCTTCTTTTTCCTTCATTGCCACTACTTTCACTAGATGAAGTTACTTCTTCACTACTTTCACTTTGTTCTACTCTTCTCTTCTTCTTTGGTGTCGCTTTTGGTAACTTGCCCTCTGCTTCAAGTTGTTGCATCTTTGCCTCATGTTCACCTAGTATGTTGTAAATTTCCCATGTCCTTTTTGCCTTTGGGCTCTGGTCGCCCATCTCAGGTAACCTATATCCTAGAAAGATTTTGTCATAGTTTGTATTTGAGTCTTCGCGTATTGTTTGCATGACTCTTTCCTGAGTTTCCGGTTCAAGCTCTTCAAACAGAGCTTGTCCATATGGAATAAGCTCGTTTCCAAATATATGTTTTTGTAGCCATTCTGGTTTTCTTTCCATGTTACCAACAATATCTTTTGTGAATGGGAAAGCTTTTACCCAATGTTTCAGTCTTGCGTCATTTATTTCTGTAGTTGGTTTTATTTTGTCAAGGAACATGTTTTTCAATACTAACATTTCATTTGGTACTGTCCATTTGAGTTTTCTTAAATATTCATCCCTTCTCGGTTCATTGTCTGCAAAGTAAGTTTTTATGACATTTTGTAAACTTTCGTTTGCAAGGTCATGTACAATAGGTTCTCTTCCTTCTGTCTCCCTAACTTTCTTTCTAAACTCTTCACCAAATATACCATCTTTATGGTTCTGTGTAGTTCTTTGAGATAAATGTTCTAGAACGTCAGGTGTTATATTTCCATCAGCCATGTTCATTTCATACTGGTCCAAAATATCTGCATCTTTCATATCTTTCAATGGCATTAAAGCCGCGCTGAAAATACCAGCTATATCTGGTTCACCATTCACTTCCATTGCGTCTACAACTTCTTGGAATTGTGGTTGTAAGTTTATGAACCACCTATCCGGGTTAGCTTTATGACCCCATCTCATTGTAGTTCCATAGTCTGCAGAAACAAAAGTAGGTTTGTTTCCATATTGGTTAGGTTCTGAATGAACTTTAAACAATGTTTCATTTCTATATGTTTTGTTGAAATTTAACCTTTTATTTTCACCGAGTTCAGCCAAAGATTGAACGTTATATGGTCGTAAGTAAAAAGGGTTGTTGTATTTGTGTACATTTTCTTTCAGTACTTCCATTCTATGCTGAATATTTTCATCTGATGTTGGAGTCTTTTGTATGTCGGTGAACATTTTTCGATATTCTTCTACTCTGTCAGCCGAATTTTTCTTAGACTCTTGGAAAGATTCCATATTCACCTCATACTCTTGTTGAGGGTCAAGATTTTTCGGCTGTTCCAAATCTTCATCTAGTTCTGTGAAGTTAGTTTCCAAAGGAGGGACTTGTTCGTTTCCTTCAGGCTCTTCTAGCTGTTGTTGCTGAACTATTTCTTCCATGTCTGGTTGTATCTGAACTTCTTCCTGTGGAGTTTCTTGTACCTCATCTGCTGGCATTTCATATATTCCGAGACCGTTTTTAACAAGTTCCCTATCTAAGTCATCCGGACTCATAAACCTTTCTTCTTTCGTTCCGTCTCTATTTTTTACGCGTTTCATGAAGAGAGTTGAATTGTCATTTAGCTCTGACACCAAATATCTCGGAGTAAATTCAGTCATGTCATTTGGATGATATGCTATTAAATCATATCCCTTAGCGAGCTTGTATTTTCCAGGTTTGAAATTATATCCCATTTGGTGCTGAGCCATAAAGCTAAATAGGTTCGGGTCAGTATTTCCTTCCTTGAACTTTCTAATAGCTTCTTTATATCTGTCACTAAAGTCAAGAGTATCTGGGTAACCATAGTCTTCCTTAAGCATTTTTAAGAAATCTTGGTTTCCTTGTTCTCTACTTCTTTTATGTCCTTGCTCTGTTTGTTGTTGTTGCTGTGCTGGTTGTTGTTGCTGTGCTGGTTGTGGAGGTGGTTGTTGTGCAGGGTTTTGAACTGTTGGTTGCTGTGCTGGTTGTGGAGGTGGTTGTTGTGCTGGTTTTGGTGCATGCCTGTGTCTGTGTCCATGTGACGATGTAAATGTTTTAGGTAGTCCTGGTGCAGGTGCTTCTCTTGGAGGGTTTGGTGGTATATAGGTTCCACTAGCTAGTATATAAGTTCCACCAGCTGGTATATAAGTTCCACCAGCTGGCACATATGTTCCATCTGCAGCATAGTGTCCTACCTGACTTTTCGTTTTTAAGAAAGCATTTACTAGGTCTGTTTTGGTCTGTTGTAACTCTTTTTCTTGACTTTCCACAACAGTTGCTCTAACGGCGTCATAGGCACTTTGAACTGCCTGTCTCGTTGCTGCATCTGTTATTTTCGTCATATTTTGTGCTACTTCTCTTAACTCTTTGTCGAAACCTTCAGACTTCAGTTTCTTTCCAGATGAGAAGTCGTTCACTAGTTTCACCTTACTATGAAGAGCTTCGAAGGCGTTCTTAAAGTCAGCATTCATTAAAGCTTCATTTGAACTGTCTTCATTCGCTTGTATTTTTGTCCTTATTGACCCTATAAGTTGGGCTGCTTTGGCGTTGGCTTGGGCATCTAACCAGTCATTATTAGCTTTTATATATTCTGCGCTTTTCATTGCCTTTTGCATGGCTGCGTCGTTATTTTTACTTTCTTGTGCTAAGTTTTCATACTGTACGGTTTGGTTTTGCAACTGTAAAAGTTTTTCTGCCTTTACATTTGCTTCAACTTCTTTTTTATACTCATCGCTATCCATATATGTCTTCAGGGCTTTTTGTTTTATTTCTTCATCTTTCAGTACTTTATATTGAGTAGTATGGTTTTCAAATTTATAACATCTTGTTCCATTTTTGCTACTTCTGCTGCTTTTTCTGACACTTTTTTCGCATATTCCTCTGTACTTAGTTCGTTCAGTTGTTCTTCTTTCTTCTTTTTCTCTACGTTTAACTCATTGAGTTTCTTTGTGTGTCTGTCATATTCTAGTTTCTTTTCGTTTTCACCTATTTGCTTCTGTATGTCTATGTTTGACTTTTTGACATCTGATATTTGATTTTTGAGTGAACTCAAATTCATTTGACTTTGAGGGTTATAGGCTGTTCCGTCTGCAGCTCCACCATAGCCTGCCATTTTCGCTAAAAGTGCCGCTCTTAAACCTCCACTCTGTGCACCAAAAACTCGGTTTAAAAGCATAGGGTTGCTTGACATTTGTTGCAACATAGTGGGGTCATTCAGCATTTGTTGTTGCAACTGTTGTTGTGGTGTCAGTTTTACTATTGGATGTTTCAATGCTCTCTTCCTCTTACGTATATTCTTACGTAGCTTACGTGGCATTTTAAGTGAAGTTAAAAAGCGGTTTTTGACAGATGTTTATATGACACTTTTTGTTCAGCACAAAAAACTACTCGGTCAAAGTGTTGTCGGTTTTGTAAAATAACCGTCCTATCTCATTCTATAAGGGGGAAAAGGCTTCTCAAAGTATACTTCCTTAGAACGCCTGTAACTTTTCCTGTAGCGACGATAGACCCTTGCTTGTCCGGACAAAGTTATACTAAACATCTTCAGGGCTAGAAGGGGCGCAGCCCCTGGAAGCCCCACTACCTTTTTTTTTTTTTTTAAATTTTGTGCCAAATTGATTTTAGATGCGAGATTCAATTATATCAAATTTCAAAATAGGGTTCCTTTAGTTCCCATGCCAATTTGCAAAAGTGTTGCCGCATTCAAAGTAAATTTATTTATTAATTACAATATCAGACTGTTAATGATAAGTCTATGAGATTCAAAAGTTGCCACGATTGTAATAGTAGTTCACTGGTAGATAATACTCCACCTAGGCATTAATAAAAATTGTTTAAGATTATCCATAATTAATAGAAATATCTGTCATTTATATCTCAAAAAAATAAAATTCGAGTATTTCAAGCATAATTAATAGTATAACATCCAATATTAAGTGGGAATTCATATTTTTAATCCAAAAAAGTATCTTTCTGATCTATTTCAAGAGAAAAATTCCCAATAATAAAAATTGATGGAATCTTTTTCAAAATGGAAGTTGGCGGTTTTTTAAACGCATTAACTAATGTCTGCTACATTCTCAGACAACAAAGAAAAGATCGGACAAATTTGCGAGAAAAACGTCAAGCATGTTCTTGACGGCAAGGAATATATTGGCACACAGATCAAGAGCTGGAGCGAAGAAATCATCCGCGGCATTCTCCAAGAGCTTGGCAAGGACGAATTCCAGCCATTCAAATATCTTGCTAACTGCCTTATTCTTTCTCAGAAGAGCAACGGCGTTCACACCGTTACTATGTCTCTTTGGGATCCACAGAATGATGGCAGCCAGACATACCAATACTCCGGCAAGGGTCTCCAATGCATTGTTACTGTTTGGGGCCTTAAGTACTAAGACTTTTTCTTAGAAACATTCTTGTCCCTTAAAATTCTAAACGTTATATTCTAATACTAAAAAGTAAACCATACATTTCCTCATTTTTCCATAGCTGTTTTTAATCAATATCCACAATGCAAACACAGTTCAAATACTTCAAGCCAGCTCATTAAAATAAAAATCGAAAAAAGCAATAAAAAAAAATAATTTCGAAAAATGGTCGATCTTCTTAGTTTTGCAAAAATATTTCATTCATTATCAGCCTTTAACTTCGATTGAATCTTGCAAAATTTTTATCGACAATTTCCCTTGTATTTTAAAAAGTTGATTTTGAAGTTTGTAGTGAATAAATGAATTTAGTACTTAAGGCCCCAAACAGTAACAATGCATTGGAGACCCTTGCCGGAGTATTGGTATGTCTGGCTGCCATCATTCTGTGGATCCCAAAGAGACATAGTAACGGTGTGAACGCCGTTGCTCTTCTGAGAAAGAATAAGGCAGTTAGCAAGATATTTGAATGGCTGGAATTCGTCCTTGCCAAGCTCTTGGAGAATGCCGCGGATGATTTCTTCGCTCCAGCTCTTGATCTGTGTGCCAATATATTCCTTGCCGTCAAGAACATGCATGACGTTTTTCTCGCAGATTTGTCCGATCTTTTCTTTGTTGTCTGAGAATGTAGTAGACATCCAATGAACTGATTAAAGTAACCGCCACTTTTTTAGTAAAACGAATATCGGGGAAAAAATAAGAAAATTCGATCTAAAAAAGCATTGTATTTGGTATCTGAATCTGTACTATAATTTTTTTGGCGTTTCATTTTTATTTTTAAAATTACCACTAATAAAATAAACGAATAAAAAATAAAAAAAATTCAAAATTGAACTAAATTTTTAAAATTTTATGAATAAAAACCAAAATTTAACAAAAATAAATCTAATTATATGTATGGATTTATAGTTTAATAAAATTTCGTTAAAATTCCAAATATAAATATATGATTTTTTTTCATTTTTTCATTTGATTTCTAATGAAAATCACATTTTGCACTGGATTTTAAATTCCTAATATCTATAATAAACCTTATCTTTGAATGTCCTTTTTTAAATTCAATTTAAAAGAGCAATTTATTGCTTGAACTGATAATAAATCTTAGTACATATGCTATTGAATGTATTATGCCATTCATTCGCAAAAATTTTCTCAATTTTCACAATTGTGTAACATAATTATATGAAATTTAGATCTGACCTAATAGGGCAGCCTTATAAAAAGTCAATAAACTTCCGAAACGCACCGTTGTAAAGGGATAATCCAATCCAATACGCAAAAACTTCAAATTGGATAGTAGTAACTTTAGTCATTAGGAATTCATTTGGTAATTAAATATCTTGGGGTTGGCACTTTGAAATTTTGGCACAAATTTTACTGCAAACTTGAAATTTGAGAGTTAATTGCTAGGATTTAGAGAATCATCGTACACCCCTTCTACACCTGTATGCTTTTTCGACTTAGGTCAGTTGACAGAACCTAAAATATAAAATTCAAATTCGTTTAAAAATAACAAAATTCCTGTACACTCCTTTATCTATACATTTAAATATAATTCTTTAAAATTTTCATTGGATACAAAAATCTAATTTGAAAGAGAACATTCATATAAATCATTCAAAAAATAAAATTTAATAATTTAATATTAATGCCCTATTTTATCCTAGCATATGAATAACACGCACTTTAATTGAGAATCTTTCATGAGTATTGAATTTAGAAATTTTTCAAAAATCATTTGTAATGTATGAAGATAGAGTTGCACGACAATATAAACCTTTGCATCTCATTGGCCTTGGGGCATTTGCAAAAGTTTATCTAGCAGTAGATACAAGGACTTTAGAGAAATGTGCAGTTAAAGTCATTCCAAAAATAAATCCTGAAGATAGAACCGACCAAACCAAAAGAATTAAAAATGAAATTGAGATTCATAAAGTACTTCGCCATCCTTTTATAGTTCAACTTTATGATGTCATTGAGACTCCGGAGAATTTCTATCTTATAATGGAGTACGTTGATGGATGTTCTTTAATTGATGATGTCAATACAAATGGTTTGTATACCGAATCCGAAGCTGCAAATATTTTTGCCCAGATCATCATTGCACTTGAATATCTACATTCGAAGCATAATTTAATCCACAGAGATCTCAAAGCCGAAAATATTATGATTACCCACAATAAACTCGTTAAAATAATCGACTTTGGATTGAGTTGCCGGTCCAACAGCAAAGATGTCTCCGAAAGATGTGGAAGTCTTTCATACGCTTCACCAGAAATTGTATTAGGAAAGAAGTACACAACTTCGCATGACATTTGGAGTTGTGGAATTGTCTTATATGCAATTGTCTGCGGACACATTCCTTTCGAAGACGAAGAGGTTCAAATACATATGTTCAACATCTTGAACCAAGAAGTTGAAATCCCAGACACAATCTCTCCTGAATTAGAAAGCCTGATCAGAGGTATGTTAGAAAAGTTCTTCAAGAACAGATTCAGACTTGATCAAATCATCAATCAGCCATGGCTCATTAACAAGATCAGAGAATGGCGTGAAAAATTGCAAGTTAATAACAGGAAAATGCAACAAAGAAGAAAAAATAGAAGCCATTCTCTTGTTACATTTTTCAAGCAAAAAACAAAGATGCATGACCCAATCTTAGATGCTAATTTGTATAATAATGAGAATTTATTCAGAAACAATTGCAACTAGAAACAATATATTAGCTTTATTCACTCCCAATATTTTTGTCACCCTTAAAAATATCTTCACCTATTAATCTAAGATTAAGATTTTTTTTTAATTTTTGAAAAAATGAACTATATGGAAATAATGTTGTACCACCTATACTTCACTAATTGAATATTTTGAAACAATCTATTCGTATATCATGTTTAGGAATCTGTTTTAGAGAAAGTCTCAATATCAATATAATAATAGATTTCTATTAGCAACGTGTTTAAAAAGTCGTTTTGTATCATGGTACAAAAGGGCTTATTTTATAAAAACCAAGAATAAAGAATAGTGAAAATATTCAAAATTAAATAAATCTGAGATTGAAACTTGGATATGAGAAGATTGCATTGATGTTGACAGTTGAAACGATTATTGATATGAAATCTAACATATCTTTCAGATTCGGAAGTCAATCAATGTCAATTCTAGAGAATTTTCGGATATTAATGCTTTAAATAGTTTATGGATCTAGACTTGCTTTAATTGCAAGAATTTAAAAATAGATATCTTCCTAATAATTGATTTATAAATTGAGAAGTGAAAAAAATTTTGATAAAACAATTGTTTATTTTGAATATTTTCTGAATGAAATTCATGAACATATGTAAATAATCCTTTTATATTTTTTTCGTTTTTCAAATTTTGACACTTGTGAAAGTTAGCGTTTTGATATTTATCATCAAATTAGTGTATACATAAAATTGACTAAATGTTCAGCGAAATAATTTTGAAAAGAATTCAAAGAGAATTTTCAATGTATTAAATAATTTGATCGGCATGAAATTAACAATCAAAATGTTACAATTAAATAATTAGAACCTGTGAGGAAAAAACGAATTCAATTCAATTAATTTTCAATTGTTTAAAGATAAGTTGTAATAACATTTAGTAATATATTTGAACTCTTAAAACTCAAAAAACGAATTTTGATTTTTGATAGCATTGAATAGTCATTATAAATTTGATTGATATATCCTTAAAATATCATGTATGATGTTATCTCCAGCCAAAATTTGTCCGCAATAATAGTTCTCAATTTTTACTAACGTTGTAGATAAAATTAATTGTTCTCCTCACCAAATTTCTTCTTAAAGATACTTGAAAATAATCCTTTATATTTTCAATAGTTTATCAAAATTGCTATTATTTAATAACATCTTAAAATTTAATTTGTTAAATTATGCTTGCTTATGTGTGCCCAATATAATGTAGTCAAGCAATTCAAATTTAATTTCAAAAAGTGAAGCACCATTTGCATTCAATATTCCTCTCTCTCACAAAAATCCTCTCAAAATCTTTCAATGCTTTATTTTTTCTTATTCGTAGTTATTTTTATCAATGAATTATAGAGAAAGTGAGTTCTTCTTAAAGAAAGGTTTCGTCGTCGAGCGTGTCATTGCTCGTGGTGGAAACAGTGTTGTATATTGTGTTTACTCTAATCGTGAGCAAACAAGATATGCATTGAAAAAGTTTCCTTTGATGAACTTTTCTGATAGTGATCTTGATCATCTTGCATCCATTAACAATGAACATATTGTCAGAATCTATCAACATTATAGCTTCGAAGGGAATGTATACATTTTAACAGAGTACTGCCCTAGTAATTTAGAAAAGTTTATCAAGAGCAAGGAAGAAATATCAAACGACTTACTCAGAAAATATATTAATGAGGTCGTTTTGCTGTCAAGACTTGCCACGATAATCAAATATCAATCGGAGATTTTACTCTTAGTAATTTTTTGATTGATATGACCGGAAAAATCAAGATTAATATAATTGGGCTTAAGATCATTGACCAATACCAATCCGAAACTGCTCCCCCAGCTTTCAGTCGATGAATTACTTCTTACCACCAGAGTTCCTAGAGAGTAACAATTTCAACCCATTATCTGCTGATATGTGGTCTCTTGGTTGTATTGTTTACTTCATGGCAACCAAAAATCTTCTGTTCAATTCAAAAGATATGAAATTCCTTAAGGAACAAATAAAGTCAGCTGAATACAATAACAGCATTATCATGGATAACAACCTTAAAGATGTTATCTCAAGATGTTTGAAATTCGAACCAGAAGCCAGATATTCAGTAAATAATTTACTGAAGATGAAATACTTCACTTCATACGAAGGTAAATTAAATAGAAAAGCCTATCGTATTAAGGCTGACTGGAGAAAATCCGTCTTGATCTTCAGACGTAGTACATGTTTGAACGAAAGAACAAATAGCCAGATTGAAATCCCGAAGACTCCTTTCAGGCCATTCAATGATGCATTCTGATTTATATTAATTTGTATGAATTGTTTTAAAAAAAAAAAAAAAAAAAAAAAAAAGGTAATGGGGCTTCCAGGCACTTCGTGCCTTCTAGCCCTGAAGATGTTTAGTATAAATGAAGTTCTTATATACGGGTCTTCCAGGAGCTTTTCACAAATTATATATGTTTTCATGTTTTGTCAAGACTTCTTCGTAAAATCAGACAAAAATAATGTTTAGGGTAGAAGGTTAGATATAACCTCTTTTCTAACCTCTTTTCTACCCTCTTGAATTTTCAAGACTTCTTCGTACATGTTTTGTCACTTTTCTGTCACTTTTCAGGAAAAAACATTTTTATTATTATATATAAATGAATTTTACAAAACCACCGTTACCGTTCTTTGGAAATAAGAGTAAATGTAAAGATATTATATTGAGAGAACTTAAGAAACTACCGAATGGTCTAACATTTGTAGATTTGTTCGGTGGAAGTTTCTATATATCCCATTTGTGCCATACAATATTCCCAGACTCAAAGATTATATGCAATGACTTCGACAACTATATGAACCGTCTCAAACATATACCAGACACAAACAATATATTGAAAGAGTTAAAAGAAAAGATACCTATAGGTAAGATGGAACGTATACCATTAGATAACAAAAATATTGTGAGAGAGGTTTTGAAAAAAGCAGAATATATAGACTGGGATAGTATATCTGCTAGACTATTATATAGTGGTGCTATAAGAGTTCATGACATTGAAACACTTATGTCAAAAGTTTTATATCTTAACTATACAAATGTTTTCAAAGAGAACATAGAAAAATATATTGAGGGTATAGAGTTTGTGAGATGTCATTGGACAGAGTTGTATGAAAAATATAAAGACAAGGAAAATGTTTTCTTTATAGTGGACCCCCGTTCTATAACACATGGGATTTTCAATACCAAGTAGACTGGACTTTGAGAGACTCTTTAGAAACTTTAGACGTTTTACATAACCATCCATGCTTTTACTTTACATCCGATAAAAGTGGTTTGGAAAGTGTCATGAGATGGTTAGAGGACATACATGACTATGAGTTTAGATATGACAAGATAGAATATGAGAGAGGTCCTATAAACCGGAGAAAGTGTCATAACAAAGAAATTTTACTAGTAAGTAAATGTGGTTTGAAATAGGACTACTTGTTTTAGGTTTTTTCCATTGTGTCATTTACTTATTTGACGTGGCAGAAAGATATAGAGAATATGAAGATGAACCAATGCCTGCAAATGTTCAGTATATGTACTCGTAAGAGATATTTTTATCTAATATTAAATGGACGCACAGAACTTAGCGAATGCACAGCAACCTGGACAACCAAACCCAGAGAATATTCCAAATGAAGTTAGAATACAAACTGCAATGGCAAACTATGGTCAAGTGCCAACAGATGTACAAATGCAAACTGCCATGTCAAATGACGCTGCGTTAGGTTTGCCACCATGGTATGCAAATATGAGATGGAAAGAGTTTTATACAAACCCTGAAGTGGGATATAAACAACTCTATGCAGATGACGCGAACACAGGAGTTGACCCAGAGTATGTTTTCTACCAGAGGAGAAACAGAATGTATGAGCTCCAGTTAAAGAATGCTATGGAACTCAACAGGAAACGTAAGAGACTAGGCGGACATTAGATTTTTACATATAGTAAAATGGGTTTCTTTGGAAGAATAGGAAACTTCTTTCGAAATGTTGGAAGAGGTATATGGAATGGAATAAAAACCGTAGGAAGAGGAATTTGGAACGGAGTCAAAAATATTGGCAAAAGAGTAGGTCAGTTCGTTGGTATTATACCTAAAGACCCTGAACCAGAAGAACAAGCTCCTGTTATACAACAGCCTGAACCTGCACCACAGTCTAGTTGGCAACCAAATCCAACACCTCAACCGTATTAAAAAATTATATTTTTACCGTTCGATAGTAGTTGTATATGAAACTAAGTTCTAAGTAAAACGCATGGTATAATGGAACTATTCTCTTTCTTCCATCTGTTGTAAACCATACTTGAAAATCCGAAATACTTCCACTTGGTGGTTCGTATAGCTTTGTAGGTTTTTCGTAAAAGTCATTTGCCAAGCATAAGAAAGAGTTTTGGGCGCCAGAAAATGAAGCATGAACAATAATAGCAGCTGGGTCGAAAACATCTTTAAATAAATATGGTTCATCTCTTGCATATCGACTGTAAATATTTGCTAAAGGAAGTTCGACTTTCTGATTTAACATTCTTTGCAAATAATACCATGACATTGCAGTGAATTCTGTATATATTTGTTCGTCTTTCTTTGGATTGTCTTCGTAGATTTGAAATGACACTTGTGAATTTTGTTTGTCATATACAATTCTCACATAAAGTGTGCTCTCGGTATTTGCATATTCATCAGCATATTTTGCATAACATGAATTTATTTTATCTTCTATATTTTTTAACGCAGTCTGTAGAGAAGATGAAAGGTCAACTTGTATTAGCTCAATTTCTTCCCACATTTTTCGTTTCCCTTCAGATATATAATCTATATGAAACCTTACAATAAATGGAAAACTTTTATCTTCTACAGACACAAACTTCATTCTACGAAAGCCAATAGCTTTTGTGACAGATGGGTCTCTTAGCCATCTTAATGGGTAGTCAAAACGATAGCCTTCATGCTTTACGGTCTCTGTCTCAAACTTTTGACCGACATTAGTAAAAAGTTCATCTAATGGTTTAGTTGTAGCAACTCTTGAATTTTCTTTTTCTATTGGAAGCATATTTTATCTAGAATAAAAATGTCAAATGAAAACAGCGTCTATGAGAGAAATACAACACAACCGACAACTCATTTTGCAAGCTCTAAATAAGAACACAACAAACTTTTCAAACTATTCTAAGATATCTGAGTCATTGAAAGAAGGAAACTTAAAACTGACGATAAACCCAATGACAGACGAGTTTCTGTTTCAAGACAGTAAGAACCATACTGTTTGTATAAATCCAACAAAAAGAACTTTAAACGAGAAACCTATAGATGAACTTCTTTTGAAGGCAGATATTGACAACAAAGCTGACAAAGAGTATGTAGATGCAACAAGAGACTATATTCTCGCATGGACAGATAGAACATACCCACAAAAACATCATACACATAACATCTATGACGTAGATGAACTACCAGAAAAGTTAGATGACAAAGCGGATAAAACATATGTTGACAATAAATGTCAAGTGAAGTGACAAGAGCTGACAAAGATATTCTAAAAAGACTCATACACATACCATATCTGATATTACAAACTTACAAGAAACCTTAAACAAGAAAAGTGACGTTGGACATACACACGATTTCTTCGCAACTGTTGGTATAGAAAATATTGAAGGAACGGTTGAAGAAACTGGGGATGTATTAAATTGGAAACCTCCTAACTTTCCACAAGGTTTAACATCGGATAAAGACATTAGATGTGGAAATGTCTATGTCATGGAGGATGAAAACAAAGTTAAATTCACTGCTCAAGATTTATATATAAAAAAAAGCTGACAAAACAGAGCTTCAAACGTTAAAGACAGAAATACTTCAAACAGTATATCCTATAGGTTCTATTTACACGTCAATGAACTCTACCAAACCAGAAGTAGTACTTGGTTTTGGAACTTGGACTCAAATAGTCGACAGGTTTTTGTATTGTGCAAACTCTTCAAAGGAAACAGGTGGAAGTAAAACGATTTCAGGTGCAAATTTACCTGCGCACAGTCACTACATAAATTTAAGTACATCTGAAGCAGGTTTGCATAGTCATAGATTTTGGGATTGGTCAGGAATGACAAAAGGTAAAGGATATGATGTTAAAGAGGACGTTAAGTTTGCTATAAATTGTTACTGGAGTAACACTGAGGTAGGAGGAAGCCATACACATCGCGTTTCAGGTATACGCAAACAACGGGACAGAGTAAAGACTACATGCCACCTTACATGACAGTTTACGCATGGTATAGAAATGCTTAGTCGTCATTTTCAACTTCTTTAGCATATTCGTCAGGAGTTGTCTTATATTTGTTAGGAACTGTCTTTGAAAGTATACCACCTTGAACTTTGACAAGTTTGAAACGAGGTCTGACAATAGTAGTTTTATCTTCTGCTTGCAGTCTGTACATTTTGCCATGTTTGCCTAAAACTTCATAATATTCTCTGTATACTTTCTTCTATTTTACGAACACGAATGTGAGTACCTGTCGGGTTCCCATTGTTGTCATAGTCAATAGTATTTTCATATGGTCGCGTTTAGGTATTTCTATTTTTACTTTGTCACCTTTCTTAAGTTTGAAGCCTGGCATTCTTTTTGTTTGTCTCTTTTGACTAAACTATTAAATATATAGTCTTTCTCTAAGTCAGGGTTGTTTTTCATTTCTTCGGGGGAGTGGTTTCCCAAACCTTTTTGTTTACGGCTATTGTAAATATTTAAAACTTGTCTCATCTTTGCCATGGAGAAGTGTCTGTATTTGTCGTCATATGACATTTCATCTACCTCACCACTTTGTGGTTGGTTTAAGTCTCTTAAGATTTTTATACAACTGTCAATGACACCAAGAGCAGAATGGTTTTGGTCGACAATGAAATATTGGTTTACATTTTTTGAACGCAGATAGTTTTTAATATCGTCTGATTTGAAAGAACTTTCACAGTCAGATGTCAGTTTTGTTGGATGGTATTTGTCAACGAATATTGTCAAAGCAGTTTTCACATCTAAAATAGCTTTGGACTGTAATGGTATGGCTTCACAGTATCTTGTGTTTTGACCAACAAATATTAGCCAGTATGGTGGTCCATCTTCTCTATACCTCGGAATGTTTTCCAAGATATCCATAAACCAAGCATTTGGTGTTGAACTAAAGATTTTTACCATGAGTGCTTTCTTTGTCGCTTTAGAAACATAGGGGTCCTTGTTTGAATTCGTCATTTTTAACCCATAAGAAATGGGTTTATTTGGCGCATTAGCAGGAGTTGCATCCAGATTTTTGCCAGTGGGAACAATAGCCAGAGGTGCATTTGGAATTGGAAGGAAGATTTTGAGTACATTAGGTATACTGAAAGAGAAAGCACAACCTATTATACAAACTGTACAGAAAGGTTGGGAGGTAGCACGAGATGCAGCAAATCTTATTCCAAATCCTGAAACAAGAGGAAAAGTTCAAGGATGGATGGACAATGTAGGAAGACAAGCAGGAAACTATTATAACAAAGCAAATGACTACTATAACCAAGCAGGACACTATATGGACCAAGGTGAAAGATTCTTTAACAGAGGATATAACCATGCACAACAATGGGTAAACAATAACCAACCGCAACCACCTCAAACGTGGGGAATGTAAATTTTTTTACTGAGATGAAATGAACAATACAGCATTGAGACAAATGGGCTCAAGATGGATTTGTCGACTTCCAGCAGTTACACAACCACGTGTTTGTCAAGTTCTTCCTATACCTCAGGAAGTTTTAGACCGACTTAAAAAACCTAAAAACCAGTTGAAAACAAACCAAACTAAAATTTTTTACTGAGATGAAATGACCGAAGAAGTTGAAACGGTAGATTTGACACCACAAACAAAAAGTTCAGAACCATTGTCAAAACCTGTCAAAGAACTTACAGATGAAGAGAAAAATTCAATAATAGAAAGTGCCAGGTCTGGAAATACAAACCCTAACTACAAAGTCACTTTTCATAGAAATGGAACGGCTAGTATCTCAAAAAAGAAACAGACTCTCACAAATAAAATATTGAAGTCTGAAGGAGTTAAAGAGACAACAGATGGAAAAGTATATTTTACCGACCAACAGTTCATTATAGAACATCTCATTGACTTAGAGTCGAAATATTCTAAACTTTACAACAAACACAAAAAGTTGAAAGGAAAACAAAAACAGATGGCATATGATATTTACGAAGATGTTGACGACACAACCATACCTGCAAGTGAGGTAAAGTCAGAGGAACCAAAAAGTGACGAAAAACCGATAGAAGAAGAAAAACCAAAAACTGAAGATAAACCAAAACCAAAGTTTAGTTTGGAAACTAAACCAACTCAACCTTCATTAGCTGGTATGGGTTGGCGTCAAAGGCTTCTGGTAGCAGGAGGTTATGTAAAGTAAAAGAAAACAGTATATTTTTCAAAAAAATATTTTTTTTATTTTATTTGAAATGTACGCCGAGTTTGTTGGAACAGACCGTTGGGAAACTTGTTTGTTAGATGAGAAATATGAAATTCACTGTTGTGAGTCATTTGAAGTCAGAAACAAAAAGACAAAAAGAGTTTTAAGCGAATGGGAGCAAAAATACGGATATGCTATTATGAAGATGGGTGGAAAACACTATTTTAAACATGTTGTCATTGCAACTCATTTTATACCGAACCCTAACAATCTACCTCTTGTAGACCATATAAACCGTATAAGAAACGACAATAGACTTGAAAAACTTACGCTGGGTCACTCGTTCTGAAACAATAAGAACATAGGCAAAATTGGAGATATTGTATTCGAATTTGTCGACGAACTAGAAGATGAAGCAATTGAAATTACAGACTATGGTAAGCATACGTTGGAGTTTTACTACTATAGCGAAGAACAAGACTCTTTCTACTTTTATACCGGCGTAAACTATAGAAAATTACAAGTATGTTTTACTAAGGCGGGCTATGCTTATGTAAACGCTAGAGATACAGATGGAAAATACGTTAGACTATATCTTAACAAATTCAAGAAGCTATATGGCATACCATTTTAAAACAGTATATTTTTAACTCTTCAATTTGATTTTCATAAGAAGTCTCATTTTTAATTCAATTTTCTACATTCAAAGTCATCAAGATTTTTCACATCATTATTGATGATGTCTGAAGGAAAGACAGGTCATGATGTTGCCATGGAACTCATGGATAAGTATAATGGCTATAGTGATGTGTTTGTTGCATTATACAACTTAAAAACTTTTGAGCAAGAAGAAATTTACAAGTTGTACAATGAAATCAAAACAAAATTGATTGATTCATGAATCAGTACATCATAGCCAACAATTCCTTATATAAAGTTCAAAAACTTGGGTGCAATCAGAACTGATTGCACCCAAGTTTTTGAACTTTCTTGAGGGAATGGAAGAGTAAGAGGTATACATTATGAATATATACCTCTTACCCTTCCATTCCCTCTCTGACAGCGGAAAACTTTGTCTGAATGTTAAACTATTCAGACAAAGTTTCCCGCTGTCAGCGAAAGAATTGTTCCATCTGGTCATAGAGTGTGAATCTATGCACCAATGGAGCAAGTCCCTCGCGAAATTGCCAAAACTTGCGTCGCATTTCAAAGATTTGCGACCCAAATTTTGGCGATTTCTAGTAGAGATGGAGTATTTTGAGTCACTGACCTATATGCAGTGGCTTCAAAGGGCTCCATCTCTACTTTGAAGCAAGGAAACTTCCTCGAAAATTTTGATAATTTGAAGAAAGTTTTCAAGCAATTAACAAAGGATTACTCGCTATGAGGTAAAAATTCTAGATTTTCACCTCATAGCGAGAGCTTCCCTTTCATTGCTTGAAAACTTTCCCCAGCTTCAAAATTGGGGAAAGGGCTGTAAAGTCGACTCCGATATCAGCAGGTACCAGAGTATTTAAAAGAGAAGCCCTCGTACGAGTTTCTATGAAGACCTTCTCATTCAAGAAGATCTTAATAGAAAATCGTACGAGGGCATTGGAAACTCGCGTCTGGTACATGTTGGTACCAGAGTGTTTGAGATTTGAAGACTCTGGTACTAACATGTACCAGAATTTATGATGAATTTAAGATGGACCATTATAAAATGGTAGCGGTTTGTTTCAAAAAATTTTAGATGAGATTTGCATAGATATAGATTATATGATTTATACATATGAAAAATAATATATAAAAATATAATTTTGAGATAATTATGTAAATAATATTTTAAATATTTGAATTTGAGGTATAATTTTATAGTAAAATATATTATAAAGAGTATTTATATAAATATTGTAAAATAATATAAGTAATAAAAATTGAGACCCCCTCCCTGTTTTTGATGTTTTGTCACTTTTTCGGTAATTCTTATTGTTTCAGGACGTAACTCAATTCAATATGCCGAAGATATGTTGAGGAGTCATTTCCAAGTATTTCAAGATGGATATGGCAAAAAAGTTTTGAACTATTTCAAAACGTGCAAACCATCTCATTGATTGCTTATTATTCGCAAATTAACCATCACATATTCATATCCTTTTAATTTTTCAAGAATAAATTTTATTATTTTTTTTAATATGCATTTAGAATTATTTATTCAACAACATATTCATGGAAAATAAAGCAAATTAAATCCAAATTGAACAAATCATAGAATGGAACAGAATAGTTTTAGAGATACAAATACCTATCATTAGAGAATTATTTTGGATGGTCTTCAAGGGAAGCTATTATTGAAAATTGGATTTGTAAATTTTGGCTATTTTTTATCACAAATCAATATGTGTTGTTTTTATCTGTCATGGTATATGAATCCTGCTGCAACCGTATTGAGTTTAACGATAATAACTTTAAATTGAATCATTTGGCATGGTTTCTTTTGTTTTAAAAGTAAAATGATGATAAATAGATTAGTATTGAACTACCTTTACTAAATATATTAGGAGTGTACTTGTCTTTCCATTAAATGAAGAGAAAAAAGAAGCTAAACACTAATAGCCAAAAAACTGCACATGTCACTTTTGTTTTTGCCGATTTATGAATAGTTGAAAATGATACTACAAGTTACATGAATATTTAACCGAATTTCTTAGATGAATTTTTTTTACTAAAACCGTCAAATTTAAAAAAAATGGGCGAAATTGCAGAAATAAAGGAGAGAGTTTTTAACGGTACAGTCCCTGTTCGTGTTTCTTTTGATAAACTAGATATTCCTTTGTTTTTCAATGTTCCTAGGTGCATCACATTCGGCATTTTCTTCCATGAAAAATTGCAATCTGAATTCGGAGAAAAATGCGATGACTTTTGGATGACATCCAAAGGAAGATATATCCAACCAAATTTACCAGCTGGTTTAATTTATGATTCTTTTGTTGAGCAAATTTCCCAATTTACAATTTTACAGATCGATATCAAAACAACAGAATTTCCATTGCAAGACGTATTGAGATGCCCAACAATGCTTGTAGCTCAACAATTCTTCAATCACTCGTTCAAGGAATCCCTTTTCTTACAAAGTGGCAATCTTTCATTGCTCACTCAAAGTTCGAACCTACCATCGAATATTCTTGAAACTATCATTAATCGTAAATACCCTGAATTTTTAGAATTTTATAGCCAAGTTGAGAAGAACTCTAGTGCATGGAAATTATGGCCAATTAAAGTCATGGATAGACAAGGAAAAGTCACAAATCATTTCCTCCCAGGTGATGGCGAAAATACACTAAAAGATGCAATCAATGCTGATAAAGCAATAATTCAAGGCATTGAAGTTGATGGAAATACGCCAATCAAAACACTCATCCCTACCCTTTTATATCCAGATGGATTTTTGTATGTCGTAGTCTAAATATTTAATAATTGTTTAAAAATCGTTACCTTATAAACTGATATCAATATAAATTTAATTTTTATGAATGATTTTTGATAATTCAAAATCAAATCTGGAAAAATTTGAAAAATTTATTTCGATAATTTTGGATTTTTGAATTTTTCAGACCATAGATATAAATATCTAAAGAAAAATTAATGATATTTAAAACAGAAGTTTACAAAATCAAAAAAATTTTAATACAATTATAAAATAAGGGTTCTGATCTGGTGTGAAGCAGAACGAAGTAGTCTATCACGAAGAGAATTGCAAAGCTCGTTATCATGTGTATCATCATGGTTTCCTGACTCAAGGATATCAGCAATGATGCATTGCTTAGCGCCGGGCGTTACTTCTGCATCTCTTAATACGTTGTAAACATTACGAACAGCGTCAGCAACGTTTCCAACAGGGCTGAGATCGAAATAACGAAGAACCTGGCTGGAAGCAGTAGAAAATGTACGATTAAAGTCGATGAGTACTGTATCTGGTGTAAGAGAAACTGTTTGTTCAACAGCATCCTTTGATCCTTGCTTACGAACGAGATATGTTGGCATATTTGGAGCGTAGTGGCGAGTTTCGTGGCCTGGAGAAGCAAGTTTCTCCTGGACACCAGCATCTCTTGTAACAGAGCCTGGGATGACCTGTTCAACTTGGCCAGCTGTAATAAAGCCTGGACGAAGAACTGTAATGTTTTTGCCATGAAGACGGAGAACTGTTGATTCGATACCAATTGTGGCGTTTCCACCAGAAATAACAAGAAGATCTGGTGTCTGGCCAAGATCATACATAACATGATCGCATGTTGTAGGAGAAACGTGGCCAAAGAGATTTGCACTTGGGGCAGCAACTGGTTCGCCGCAAATCTCAAGGAATCTATGAGCAATTGGATGTGATGGGACACGAACACCAACGCAACCTGTACCTGCCATAACAAGAGGTGGAACAGCCTTGGTAGCTGGTGCGACAAGTGTCATTGGACCTGGCCAAAATGCAGCGGCAAGCTTATCAAAATTAGCAGACTCTTCGTCTGTTAAAATTAAGTACTTCTTGGCAGCCTCTGCTGTGGCAAAATGTGTAATAAGTGGATCAGAATATGGACGGTGTTTGGCGGCAAAAATTTGCGCAAGTGCCTTTTCCTCTAAATGAGCACCAAGACCATAAACTGTTTCTGTTGGGAAAGCAACAAGTCCGCCTGCATTGATTTGCTTAGCAGCGATTGTTAAATCCTCCTCACTGGTTGTAAGAACTTTAGCCATTGAATAATTTATCGTTGGCCAAAATTTTGACACAGAAATTTTGAAAATTTCTATCGGTCAAAAATTTTGGCGAGATTTTCACACAATAATAATTGAACTCGAGTTATTGTATAGCGACTTCAGAATTTGATTTTAAAACACTATATGAATGAATACATACTTTTAGTATAGAACTTCATATTCAAAATCATATTTATATGGCATAATGTATATGGTGTTACAAAATTTCCTTTCGTCACATTTTGGTTATAAAGTTCGATTCATAAAACGAACGCCAATAGCCCCAAATCTAAATCAAGATTTACGGTTGAAGAAGATTTGAAGCTTGCAAAACTTGTCTCAAAATATGGGAAAGTGGATTGGGAAACAATTGCTTCTATAATGAAAAATCGATCAGCAAGACAATGCCGCGATAGATGGAATTACTACTTGAATCCAAAAATTAGGAGCCGACCATGGACTGAGACAGAAGACAAGATTCTGCTCATTAAATACTTCCTATTAGGACCCAAATGGAGTGTTCTTTGCCAATATTTTGAAAATAGAACAGACATCGATATTAGATATAGATTTTTATTCATTCAAAGGGAATCCAAAAAAAATTGTCAATTGAGAAAAATACATCAGACGGGAAAACTCCGTCAACATGAGAAAATTTTCCGAATTTATAAAGTACGATGTGGAAAACTAGTGAAATTCATATGTTTATGAATTTAAACTCGTTTTTCACATCATTCAAATATTGAAATTTGGCAAAAAACGATTATAGACAATATTTTCTATAGTAAGAGATTTCAAAGTGCTTACCATTGATTAGATTTCGTCTAATCATATTGTGTAGTAATGATTCATTCATCAGCATCAACGCAGAGATTTTAAAGCATAATTTTCAGATAGAATCTGTATTTATTTATACGCGTTTCAGAATATATTCGAGAAAATACTGCTGAATAAAATTCTTTATCTTATAAAATTGAGCGATATACCAAGCGTGCCATTATTTTCTTTCATAGGAATTCGCGCATATTTCATAATTTGAGTATATATTTTGTTTTTCTCCCTTTCATTGAAATTTAATAGAACATATGAGGACTATATAAAGTAACGAAAACGATAGGTCTATTAGCATATAATAGTATTAAGGCTAAATTTTAAGAAAAATGAAAATCGCGAATTAAAGAGTGATAATAAGTAGTATATATTGAGATTTTCTGAGTCTGTATGTATTCAATGTGCATCATATTGACATATTTGAATTGTGATGCTTTCTGTTAAACCTAGACTAAATAAGGTATCATATATCTCATTTGTGTCAATTGTCCAAATAGAAAAGGGTTCACTAGAATGTCTATGATTTGACCTGAAAATCATTTTTATAAAGAGTACATTGTTCATTCCCCTCATGAAATAAAATTGATTAAACAATTAAAGCAATTAATCTGTTTAATTAGCTGGCATGGCCCACATAAGTTTACTTTAATTGATTTCTTTTACCCCAAGCTGTAAAACTAATGGCTCATTATAAGATTCCCAAAATTGAAACTCAGCTTCTAAATTTTTTCGAAACTGATAAAGAAATATCATGTGCGTATGTAATAGAGGCTATAGTTTTAATTTCGATGCAAGAACAGTAATTTGTAAACATCGAAAAGTGACATCAAGATGAACACTGGAGATCTAGACCGAGTTATTGCACACATTGAATCAGGAAAATATCCATCCCTCGAGGATGTTAAATATCTTTGCGAAAAGGCAATGGAGATCTTACGTGATTTGCCAAACGTAGTCTCCGTTCCTGCGCCAGTTTCAATTTGTGGTGATACACACGGTCAGTTCTACGACTTATTGGAACTATTTTCACTTGGAGGCAAGTGCCCAGATACAAATTATTTATTTTTAGGCGATTATGTTGACCGTGGATATTATTCAGTCGAAACATTTTTATTTTTAATTGCATTAAAAGTTCGTTATCCATCAAGAATGACTTTACTTCGTGGTAACCACGAATCGAGACAGACAACTCAAGCATACGGATTTTATGACGAGATTATCAGAAAATACGGCGACGCTTCAGTATGGCAACTTTTCAATCAAGTATTCGATCTTCTTCCAATTTGTGCTGTAGTAGGCGAGAAAATATTCTGTGTTCATGGAGGCTTATCTCCACTTATTACAAGTATAGATCAAATTCAGGGTTGCGACCGTAAGAAGGAAGTACCAGAGCGTGGTCTCATGTGCGACCTTCTATGGTCTGACCCAGATACAGTATCCGGATTTCAGATTTCTCCTCGTGGCGCTGGATATATTTTTGGCGACCATGTTGTTCAGCAATTTAACCGTGCTAATAGATTAACCTTAATTTGTAGAGCACACCAACTTGCTATGGAAGGCTACGTTGAATGGTTTGATAGGAAATTGTTCACTGTTTGGTCTGCCCCTAACTACTGCTACCGTGGTGGCAATCCTGCATCAATTTTAGAAGTATCTACGGATTTGACTACTAGATGGAAGATGTTTGAAGCCGCTCCACCTGAAGCTCGTGGTGAATTCCCAGACAGAACTATGGTAGAATATTTCATGTGATTGTTGAAAATGATTCGAAAATACATAAACTTTCCCTTCATTTTTTTTATTACTAAATACCAGGCAATACATATTTTTTTTTATAATTCAATTATGACCTTATCATTCTTAATCTATATAATAGTTGTAGTCCCCTCAATGAAATAAAGTATTTTTTATAATCATTTCGTCGTATTTGTTGTAATTGTGTTTCAAAAAAAATCTTAGCAAGTATTTTGGACTAGTCCAATATTGTTTTTATATTCTTTACATTTTTGTAATGATAATATTTATGGAATAATGATAAGGGTAGCAATCATAATGTTAGCTACCAAAAGGCGGGATACAGCCAATACAACATATATTAAATTTATGCTATCCAAGAACAATAGGAACAGATGCAAAACAAATATTCTTTACGAAAGGATCTTGCATTCTCATTCGTACGATTGATTTTATCAAGAGGAACTGTAATTACGGTATACATTGCATGATTAATTCATTTGGCCTCTGTTGTTTGTTCTCTGAAAGGCGAAATAATCTTTCTCAAATTGTTGGTTGATTATAAAATTTTGGATGATCTACATGATCTCGCCCAACTACGTGGCGTATAGTTTGACACCTATCATGAGATTATGAAATATTCAGTGAATAATTAATGGGTTGTAAGGACTATAGAAAGAAATAATATTCGTGCGGATTGTTGGAATACTATAGAGCAATTACAAACGTTACATCAATCATATTATCCGACCACTTTTGACAAAATCATCTTAATCATTTTTGAAGTACAAAAGAAGTGATAAATTATTAAATAACTAGGGGAGGGTAGTACTTAAAATTTTCAGTTCCAAAAAAATTTTGTTTATATTATCGTTTTTGAGAACTTTGGAAATTTGAGAAAAACGATAAAACTATAACTTCATTTCTTTTTATGGAAGCAGATAACCTTGCTGTTAACACAATCCGTTGCCTTGCTGCTGATATTGTCAGCAAAGCCAACTCTGGCCACCCAGGCCGTCCACTTTGTCTTCTCCAGCAGCCCACTCCTTTGGTCTAAATTCTACAGTTACGAAAAGGACTGGATCAACCGTGATCGTTTCGTTCTTGGCCCAGGTCATGCCTCTGCCCTTATGTATTCCTTACTCCACCTTTACCAACGCGAACTCACAATAGACATCTTAAGCAATTCCGTCAGTTACATGCCAAGTGCGCTGGCCACCCAGAGCACTACCTCATCCATGATGTTGAGGCAAACAACTGGCCCACTTGGACAGGGTATTGGTTATGCTATCGGTATGGCTGCACTTGAACTTAACCTTGCTGCTCGCTTCAACAAGCCAGACTTCCCAGTCTTCAACCACAAGGTCTTCGCCTTCGTTTTCGGATGGTGAAATGATGGAAGGTGTCCAGGCTGAAACAGCCTCATGGGCAGGCCACCAGAAGCTCGATAATCTTATCGTTCTTTATGATGACAACCACATCACAATTGATGGCAACACAAACCTTGCCTTCACAGAAGATGTTTCTTGCCCGCTACCGTGCTTACGGCTGGCACACACTCGTTGTCGGAATGCCGAAAAGGACCTCGAAGCCATCGAGAAGGCATCAACCAGGCCCTCGAGCTCAAGGGTGCTCCAGTCCTTATCGATCTTAAGACAACAATCGGCTTCGGTTCCGAAGTTGCCAACACACCAAAGGTCCACGGCACACCACTCAACAAGGATCAGCTCGCCGCCCTCAAGAAGTTCTTCGGCTTCAACCCAGAAGAATCCTTCGTTGTCCCAGAACAGGTCTACAAGCTCTACGACGGCGGTTCGTGAGAAGGCCCACCAGAAGGCTGAAGCATGGCGTGCCATGTTCGCTGACTACGCCAAGAAGTACCCAGAAGAGTACGCTCAGCTCGACCAGATCTTACATCCAAACTTCACAGTCGAGGAGTTCAAGAAGTTCATGCCACTCAACGACGAGAAGAATGTTGCTACACGTGTTGCTTCTGGTGTTATGCTCAACGCTATCCTTCCACACTTACCAGGCCTTATCGGTGGCTCTGCTGACCTTACACCATCCAACAACACAGCTCTTACAGGCCAGAAGTCCTTCCAGCCAGACTGCGCGAGGGCCGCTACCTCGAGTTCGGTATCCGTGACACGTATGATCGGCATCGCCAACGGTATGCAGTTCTACGGCTTACCAGGCCTTGTCCCATTCGTCGCCACATTCTTCACATTCATCCAGTACGGCCTCGGCGCTCTCCGTGTCGCTGCTCTCGACAAGCTCCGTATGCTCCTCATCATGACACACGATTCCATCGGTCTCGGTGAAGATGGTCCAACACACCAGAACGTTGAGAACTTCGCCATGATCCGCGCTCTTCCAAACACACTCCTCCTCCGCCCAGCCGATATCCTCGAGACATCCGCCTGCTACACAGCTGCCCTCACAGGCCCAGCTCGTCCAGCAGTCTTCGCCCTCTCCCGCCAGAACGCTCCTCCAGTTCCAGGCGTTAACTTTCGATGCGCTCTCAAGGGTGGCTACATCGTCAAGGATGTCAGGATCCAAAGCTTATCTTCGTTGCTACAGGCACAGAGCTCAAGCTCGCTTACGATGCTGCTGAGAAGCTTGGCCTTCCAGTCCGTGTCGTCTCAATGCCATGCACAGAGATCTTCGAGGAACAGTCCGAGGAGTACAAGAAGTCCGTCCTTCCAGGCAACGTCCCAACAATTTCCATCGAAGCCGGCATCCACCAGGGCTGGGAGAAGTACTCTCATGTCCACTTCGGTGTCGAGACATTCGGCCTTTCTGCTCCAGCAGGCAAGGTTTACGACTTCTTCGGCTTAACACCAGAAAAGGTTGCTGAGCGCGCTCAGAAGGTCCTTGATTATTACTCAAAGACCCCAGTCCCAGATCTCTCCGCTAGACCACAGTTCTAAAATTAAGTGAGATTCTTGACGTTTATTAATCAAATTAACTACCTTCTTTTATATTGCTCTCGGCCACCTATAATATTATAAATATATACTTTGAATTTTAAATTTAATTTTTATTTACTAACTTTTTTATTGAAATTTTATTTATCAATATATTCTTTGTCTATTATCCTATTGTTTTATCGATTTAATTTCTCCGAAAACCTCCAAATTTTTTTGAAAATTGAAAAAATGAAGATATTTTTTCATTTTTTATTGTCATTTTTCAGATTTCATAAAATTTTTGGAAATTTTAAACTTTATATTCATATGCAGATAAGGGCACAAATCATAATTTTAATCAAAAATCACAAAAATAGTTTTCTCCACTCAAAAGATCGTAAAAAATTTGAATTCATTGAACGGATAAAGAAATTACAAAGGTACATTCACTAGGCGATAACAGTAAAATGGGATGAAAATAGGATAAATAGCATCCCTATATAGTGCCTAACAATATTTATACGGACCAAAAAAATTTGGCTAGAGATTTGGCGAGTTATAAAACTTTAGAAAATTGAGAGGGATTTTTATTTTTGAATTTTTTTGGAAAGTTAAAATTGCGATTAAAAATTGATTTCCGGGAGAACTAAGCATCTCATCATATATTTAAATCGATAAAAATATTAAATAATAGTTGAATAGTATAACTACGTGAAATTATGGCTGAATTTACAGAAAAAATGAACATATTTGACATTTTTGAAAATTCATACGTTAGATGGTGACAGACTCATAAACTATACTTTAGCTAAGATTGATATATGGTTTCAACAACACATGGTTAAAATCGTAAAAATATTTTAGATTTCAAAAAAGATATATATGGTAATATAATGGAACAAAGTCAACAAATAGCATGTAAAATATGTTATAATTAACTTTTTATTAGATCCAATAGTAGATATCGAATGGTTTCCAGCTTTATGGTTAATTATTTTCTTTTCGAGCTTCTCTTTAACTGTTGTATTAAGGTTGTAAATTTTTGATGCCAGAAACTATTGAATCTTCTTTGCTGCTGCATTTTTCTTGAGAGTTCTTGCAATTTCGAATAGATCTGCGCATTGTATGAAATGGAGGCTTTAAAATATCTTGAAAACAGAATAGGACTGCTTTTCAAAGGAATGCTTACTTGTAAATCAAAGAGTTTCAAAATTGACAGCAAGATTATTCATCATAACTTTCGATTTTGCTGCGAAAAAGGAAGACAAGTAATTACAAATCATTTACTGTTGTTCATCAAAAGAAGAAAACTTTTATAACAACTAATGATGATAAAATCAAGCTATCTTTTAATATTTTAAATTGATAAGACATTCAAAAATATTTGAATGGTTTAAATATTTTCTTTTAATTTCTATAAGATATTATCATGATTATATAATAAAATTTAAATTTTTATTCAAAAAGGCAATATTTCAAACTTTTAATTTCAAAAATCTTAATTCTGCAATAAGTGTATTTAATTGTAGCAAATTTATGATCCTTCGTCATGCTTAGCAATTTGGAACTCATAAATTAATGATTTCTTCAAGTAAAATTCTGCATTATTTCAAAAGTCAATAATTCTCTAGTAACTTTTCTTCAAACCCTAACCATTATATTATATGTATAATGGAGAATAATTGCAAAGAAAGATAGCCGAATTTACTGGGTAGTTCTTGTGATGCGAAATTAATTGCAAATTAACACCTAGTTTTAACAGCATCAATCTCTTTTTGCTCTCATCTAAATGCATTCGCACACTTTAATTTGAAATATAAGAGTTTTGGAAATTATCAAATTTATCTGCTCAAATACTATAGATCTTCATAAGTGTTAATAGAATCATTAGCCCTTACATATAGTGTTTAATATAATGATGCACATTATACTGGGATTCATTCCTTATTCATCTATTATTATAAGATTTACAACCCCATGAAAATTTAAAATTTTGTCAAAAATAGTGAATGTACCTTTGAAATTACCCATCTAATTCTCTCTTTGTTCATTTTATCCATCAGATTTTCTTTCAAAGTCAAACTGATGTAAGATGTGTAACGCAAATTGTTTACACAGAAAATGAGCGATAACATTCTCAAGGATCTCCTTGCCATCACATCACAAGACAAGTTCCTAAATGAGAAGCTCCAACAGATTTCAAATGATTTCCCAGACTATATTGAGAATAATTCTCTACAATTTGCCGATCAAATATTTAGTCGAGATTGTAAAGGATGCGCAGCCAATTACAACAGAAAAGCTAAAACATTCATGCAGAAATCCGAAGAAGCATACAATTCCGAAAATGTTCTTCTTTTGAAAGAATTAAAGATTTCCGATGCCAAAACTAACGATTATCTCGAACTCATGAGTATGTTCCAGATAGTCCATTCTTTGAAGCAGTTTCAGGCAAGTTACAGCAGAAGAAGATCAAAACTCGCCTCTTTGAAAGAAAAAATCTTTGACTTCGAGAACGAGAAGGTACAAGCAATTCCAAAGGCCGCTAAAATTGATGTCAGTGCCAACTCATTACCAGTACAGCCATCACATGATTCCTCAGACATAATTCAAGCAGTTTTCAGAGGCGATCTGAAGACAGTTGAGAACTTAATAAACGATGATCCAGCACTCATCGAGAAGACAGAATCCGATGGCGCCACTCCTCTCTACTTTGCGGCTCAAGAAGGTTATCTTGATATCGTAAAACTCCTTGTCCGCAAGAAAGCACAACATCGAAGCTCACACAGCAAGGGAGCTACACCAATCTACATCGCTTCCAGAAAGGACATGCAGAAGTTGTTGAATTTTCTCGCAGAATCAAACGCAAACATCGAAGCAGTTACGAAAGACGATCAACACCACTCTACATAGCTTGCCAGAATGGCAATACATCTACTGTACGTTCCCTCATCGCTCACGGAGCTATACAGACGATGCAAATTTGGAGCTGGAGCCACTCCATTGTACATTGCTGCCCAGAATGGTCGTAATGAAGTTGTCTCCATTCTCTCCGAGAAGGCAAATATCGAGGCTTCCCTTTCCAATGGCTCAACTCCACTTTCAATCGCCTGCCAGAACGGACATGTCCAAGTTGCTAAGAAGTTAATAGACAGAGGTGCCATGTAAATGCTATTACAAAGACGGAGCCACTCCTCTTTACCTCGCATGTCAAAATGGACATCGCGATGTCGTCAGTTTGTTGTTAGATAACCACGCTGATGTTGAAAAAGATCCGAAATCACTGTTCATCGCTTCTTACAGAGGTTATTCCATATCGTTGAAATGCTAGTTCAATCAGGTGCCAAATTAGATGAAGTTTGCACCGATGGAGCAACCACGTTATACGTTTTCCGCTCAAAACGGTTATATCAATATCGTTAAAATCCTTGTTGAAGGCGGCGCTGACACAGAGAAGAAGTTCAAGAGTGGTTGCAACACCTCTTTTAGTTGCATCTCAAAATGGCTTCATGGATATTGTTGTCTTCCTCGTGGAGAAGAAGGCAAACATCAACGCTACAACAGAAAGTGGAATCTCTGTAAGAAGATTGGAAAGACAAAGGAAATAAAGAATACTTGAGATCAAAGGGTGCAACAAAATAATTTTTATTTAAAGATGCTATTTTTATTTTTTGGAAGTGAGTTAACCAATCATAGTTTTTTAAGAAATAAATAAACATTATTTATAAAAAACAAAAATTATATCAAAAATTACAATTTTTGTAAGTGTTCATAAACGAAATTCCTAGTATTGTACTAAGCGAGATCAAATCTAATTGTACTTTTTGTTTTTGAAAAGAATTGTATCAAAAATATTTGGAAATATTCATCAAATTGGAAACATTTGCATTATTTCCTTATTAATTTTTTCGTAAAAATGCCAATCACTAATATCTAACTTTCATAAACTTAGTATTACAATCATTGAGATTAATTTCGACGCCAATTGTCACGAAAAATCTTAAAATGTTTAGTAACAAGTTCGGGTTCGTATTTTACATTTTGATTTTCTTCTGTTTCTTGCTGTGCTTTTTATCCAAATAACTCTACGAATCATATCTGAAAACGCTGGGTTGTTGAAACATACTCGTAATCATGGAGAGTGTCGACTTCATTGTAGTGATTAGTATGTAATTTAAATCATTAAAAATTTCTTTGGCGTATTTTCCTTAATAACATCTTTAAGGTAAGATTTTTCTAGCATTTCGGAAATCTTTTCATAAATCCTCATACTGCGACTCTCTAATCCTCTGTTGACATTGAATTTTTTTGTCACTTTTAGAAAAACTATGAATAAAGTTCTAATCAAAGCCAAATTCACAAATCAATAGCATTTGTATCAGCAAAGATTTATGATTTTAAGTTTTGTTCATCATTTTTTTTCAAAGTTAGAGTTTGATGGATCTTGAAAAATCGGCCAGTATATTCGATTTCCATCGTTTCTCTATAATGTTTGAACACAATGACATTAGTGACAACACAAATAACCAACAATCTACAGACGACACTCTCAGATTTCAAACAATTATTATTGGATTTCAAAGAGAATTCAAAAAACTAACAGATATTCGAAATAGAGCAACTACATATAGTAGTTGGCAAACTGTACAGTTATTTATCAAGTTTTGAATCAATTCCTTTTTCCAAGAAAATCATTGAGATAGACTTTGCCAAATACACTATAACATTGTTTGATCAGTATGAAGCTTCGAGAGTGCTAGTATCTTGCATTTTTACAGCTTTTTCATCCAATAAAGAATATATTGATCGATTTTTTGAGAGTTTTGACCCATTAAAACTATATTTATTACGAAAATTGTCCAGACTTTATTACAATTAATGCTATAATTTATGCAACAAAGATGATTCAATTTAATTTGATTAATAAGATAGAAAAATAATGATTTTTTCCATTTATTACTGAACTATTGCTTGAATATTACTGATCCTCCAGAATGTCAATATAGTTTATCAATTCATTTATAATTGTTGCAACAAAAATAGCATCTGTTGAATTTTTAGGGCAATATGTTGATGTTTTATTAAACATTATAACATATATATTGAGCACATCGAAAATTATGATGATTTATGTGTTTTTTCATTGATATTTCTAGTATTAAACCAAAAATGCAAATTCAATGATTTTACACCAGAATTAGTTCAACATATTAAAGTAATGGAAATGAAGAATCCATACTACGGATTATGGCTGATTTCATTTTTAATTCAATCAGATGAGAGAGCTTTGCAAACATTTGTTGAAGATAGTTTATCATTGGCCAAGTATTTGATGCTCACCTCGAAGAGCCTTTAATTGCAAAAGATTGCCGATGTTCAATTATTTTTATAATTAGTACACTATATCACAAAATCAGCATATACAAGATATTAAAAGTACGCACAGTTTATTGTTTCACATTATGAAAACATGACACTCAGTTTAAAGTTGTTTCAATTTATTTTGTAACAACAATGTTTTCTAATGCCAATTTTCAGAGTTACAAGAATTAGATTTTGATCAACTATTTGAGATTCTTTCTGAAATTATAATTCTCTCAAAATTATTTGAAAATTTAAAATCTTCAGATTTTTGAATGATTATAAAACAAATAAAAGCCAACACTTGCAGGATGGCCAATCAATATAAATGATTTAACTCGAGAATAATGACATAATTTCTCAACTTGAATGCTTATCTGATGATGAATCATAATCTTTACCTTTTTCATTAATTTATCTATGTGCCTTATGATAAGGATAATATATAGGTCATATCAATTTAACCTTATTTATATTCCTTATTCATTATAGTCCTTGTTTGTATTTTATTTGATAAAATTTCATGTTTCTTAAAAATCATTAAGAATTTCATATTCAATATAATGCCAATGTATGTGTTTACACTTCAGTATCTAAAAAATATATGCTTTTCGATTCTATATTAACATTGTTGTTTACTAGATAATCAGTGAGAATATTCTAGTCTTGATTCAAATTGCCATCACATATAGCCATATGTATCATCAAAATCAATCTATTGACAATAATCTTTTATATTTTTCTCTTATTCATTTTATTTGGCTTAAAAATTCATTTAAAACAAAGAATTTCACTTTATTCTACAATAATTCCACTTAGAAAATTCGGAAACAATCATACAATAGGATTTGAAATTGTCAAAATATCATTATCCGGCGTTTTTCCAAAATTATTAAAAAATACAATGATCCAGATGATTAATTGCAATGAAGTTACCATTTCAATTTCGAGTTCTTTTCAATAGAAAAGAACCTTTTTGGGAAGTTAGAATGAGAATCATGTATGCACTGCAAAAATCAAGTTAATTAAGCGTCAAATTCAATTAAGGGGATGAGATTTATTATTCTTTCCGACTCTTCGCAATTTTGAATGATTTTATATCGAGTAACGGAAAAAAAGAAATTAAAATAACACAGAAAGTGAATTTTACAATGTTAAAATATTATTTTGGTATAATATCAGATTTGGAATGGTTACATTATACTGTGAAAATAGAGCTATTCAATTTTTGTGAATTTTACACAAATGCTTCGGAGGCAGTATTCAAAGAAGCAGACTTCACTAAGCTTTTCAACAATCTAATCCTCCGAGCAGTTCGTGAGATCACAGGACAATTTGAAATAACCACCTCCACAATTGCCCTCAAAAATTCAAAGAGAAAGAAAATACGAATAAAATTTGAAGAAAATCACTTAAGTCTATATGATTCTCCTATTACAGACATAAAAGTTCCACAAAACTAGCCTTCTAAGATTGAGATGTATTAGGAATTGGCGCCCAGCTAGCAATTAGTTGATATTCCTACTCTTCCTCAATTGAAATCATCTCATTTTCAAGGCTATATTA